AATAGCATTAGTCCTATGGGACAAGCCGCTGTTAAACCAGGTCCTAAACTCCTCCCTCCTTCGCCCCTCTCCTGTTGCGTCTGTCCCGGGACATTTGGGATCCTTTGACAGCTCTCTAAAAGCCAGCACGTTTATCTCAAACCTTTGAAAGGGAAGAAACATACAGCACATATGTCCAAAGATCGGGATTTAGTGCTGAATTGGTCCAAGAAGGAAAAACAGTTTTGTAAAGTTGTGCTTGAGAATTTAATCATTGAATTTCCACCAGTTTGCTTTAAACAAGCAGGTTTTTTGGTCCAAATTTCGGAGACAATGAACGACAACTAGTCTATTATTTCAGTCTTTGTTAGTGATTGTGTGAATATATTAGAAACAAACACATTTTCTATTATAATTATAATGGCAACACAAACTCCTCAAAAGAACTTGATCAGAAATTATGTGTAGTGAGATCTGATATAGGACTCTTCCTATACCTTTGAGCTGAAATGTCTTACACACAAACTGTTAGGTAGAATTGGCTCAACATATTCTCTCGAGGACAATTCAAGACAGTTACAATATACAGATTTTTATATTTTGTACTCAAGTCTCAATATGGGCCTTCTTCAGGTTTTATTTAGTTGATCCTTGCAGATGCAGGAGGATGGTGATGATCTAGGACATTTATTTATGGTCATCAGTTCCAGTCATCAGTTGCAGTTTTGTCAGCAGGGATGTACAGTTCTGAAGTTTGAAGTCCATTAACCTCTTTTTTTATGAAGCATGAAATGAAAAATTTTAAGCATATTTTATTATTATAAAACAGAGTTGGTCACAACAACAGTTTGTAGAAGTCAGTGCTTTTCCACGTGATGTTTTGGTTTTTCTGAAGGTCAGACACGGGAGACGAGGAGAGTTTTTGTAATTTAGTCTTGTTTTTAGTAATTTAGTCTTTGCACCTGTAGATGATAAAAATGTCCAAGAAATAATCTCCAGTTTGAGCTCCTCCACATGCAGCCTGGATGTACTACCCACTAGATTTCTGAAGTCTGTTCTGAGCAGTCTGTTACCTTCACTCACACAGATAGTAAACATGTCCCTTCATTCTGGAATATTCCCAAAGGCCCTGAAAACTGCAGTCATCAGGCCCCTGCTAAAAAAGTGCAGCCTGGATGCTACGGTACTTAACAACTATCGTCCCATCTCAAATCTGCCATTTATGGGGAAAGTCCTTGAAAAAGTTGTCTACCTACAGCTTACTAGATTTCTTATAATCAACAACTCATTTGATATGTTTCAGTCCGGCTTTAGACCCCACCACAGCACTGAGACTGCTCTCGTTAAGGTTACAAACGATATCCGGCTGAACACTGACGCAGGCAAAGTCTCAATCTTAATCTTGTTAGATCTGAGTGCTGCCTTTGACACCGTCGACCATGAGATCCTCTTACAGAGATTAGAGGACTGGGTTGGAGTCGCTGGCACCGCCCTAAGTTGGTTTAGGTCTTACCTTGAAGACAGGAAGTACTTTGTGGAGATTGGAGACTGTCTCAGATCATATGGCCCTGACCTGTGGAGTACCACAGGGGTCGATCCTGGGACCTCTTCTGTTCAATCTCTACATGCTGCCGTTAGGTCAGTTAATACGCAGAAACAAAGTGTCCTATCACAACTATGCAGACGACACTCAGATCTATGTCTCACTGACTGCAGGAGAACATGGACCAGTGGACTCACTCCTTCACTGTATCCAACAGATCAGTGAGTGGATGCAAAACAACTTCCTTCAGCTAAACGCAGACAAAACTGAAATGATTGTCTTTGGTCCCCAGAAACAAAGAGAGAGCGTCATCTGTCACCTACAGTCTCTCTCCCTAAAACCTTCAAACAAGGTCAGAAATCTAGGGGTAATACTGGACTCAGACTTAAATTTTAATAGCCACATCAAATCAGTAACATCAGCAGCTTTTTACCATCTAAAAAACATTGCCAGGATCAAAAACATAGTGTCTAAAGCAGACTTGGAGATTCTTATCCATGCATTTGTCTCCAGTAGGTTAGACTACTGCAATGGCCTGCTCACAGGTCTGTCCAAACAGGCTGTAAAACAGCTGCAGTACATTCAAAATGCAGCAGCTCGAGTCCTGACTAGAACCAGGAAGTACGACCACATTAGTCCGATCCTCAGGTCCCTGCACTGGCTTCCTGTGGCTCAGAGAATAGACTTTAAAACAGCTCTGCTTGTGTACAAATCTCTCCATGGCCTCGCACCAAACTATATTAGTGACATGTTAGTCCCATATGAACCAGCCCGGACTCTGAGGAGCACAGGGACTGGACTCCTGTTAGTGCCCAGAGTCAGAACTAAACATGGGGAGGCTGCTTTTCAGATTCATGCTGCTAAAATCTGGAACAGTCTTCCTGAAGATGTGAGACAGGCCTCCTCTCTGACAATGTTTAAGACAAGGTTGAAAACAGTTCTGTTTAGCTGTGCATACAACTGAGGGATTTTATATTTTTATCTTTTTTTAATGTACTGTGATTATTTATGATTTTAATGCTTTCTTGTTCTGTTCAGCACTTTGAATTGCCTTGTGTATGAATTGTGCTATATAAATAAACTTGCCTTGCCTTGTTATATAACCATGCGAACGCTGTGAATCTGTGAACCAACAATAAAACCTGAGACACAACCCCAGATCTCTGGAGATTTGCCATTTTCCTTAAACCTTAAAAAAACATATACAAACCTGCTTGATTATCACTTTTTCTATCTTTACAATAACCACTTACACCTCTGGTCACTTATCGATAATCTGCACTGATACACGTCTATTGTATGTATTTATAAATTATAATTGTATAATGATTTTTGTATACAAGCCTTTAAATCTATTTTTAACTTTTTTATAACTTGTTTGCGTCATATTTCAAAGCAAATTCAGAGTTTGTCACTTCCATTTATACTTACAAAGGCAATAAACAGAATTCTGATTCAAACTTACAGCCATTTGTTATTAATTGTCTACTATTGTATCCAATGCTCAAAAACTTAAAAAATATGTGTAATTATCATATTTTTTGTTAAGTTTGTCTCCTCTCACACAGTGTTCAGATTTGCTTTGGGACCACATCTATTTTTTTTTGCCAAGTGAGCGACCGGTGACAAACTAACACTGTCAAGTTTAGGCTAACGTTTCTGCTCTTTAAATATGTATACGCTAATTTAAGTTACATGCACAAGGACAAGATCGAAAGCAAGGATTTAAGGTTGTCTATGAAGAAATGCATGGGGGATATAGTTGACAAGTGGGGTTTTAAATGCAATGCAAGCAAAAACTTTGAATTATGTCAATGTTTAGTGCATTTACTTTGTTTTTGCCCGTTCAAGCCCTTCCCCTGCTCAAGTTCTGCGGCATCAATAATAAAAGCGTTGGTTTAAGTTACTGTGGTCGGGTTACAGACTTGCACAAGAGTGAAATAAAGGGACTCCCTCACATAGACACAAAAGAGACTACGTTACCCAGAAAGCATTGCTCCTTACATCATGGCAAATCACTGAACCGTGTTTGGAGTAGAGTGGAGAAAGTTAAAGGAGAGTTGAAAATATCTGCTTTAAACAGCTAAAAATATTCATCTCATTTTATTTTATTTTTTAAACAGGGGGACCTCAATTTTGTTTTCAACACGAGTACATGTTGTTTGTCTTGTTAAAGTAAACTGTTGGGAACAAATCAGACAACATGAAGAGGCAGCGGTCCAAATTTTTGCAGGGATAATCTAGAAAAGTCTTCTTAAAAATGTGAAACAGGATTCTACTCTGACATTGTTTAAATCCAGTTTTGTTTAGCTGTGCATATAACTGAGGAATTGCATCTTCACACTTATACTGTGGATACTTATTATTTTAAAGCCTTGTTTGATTGAGTTGACTTTGAGTTGCCTTGTGTCTGAACTGTGCTATACAGATAAACCTCAGCTCTAATGATTGTAAAAGTAGTAAGAGCCAAGCGAGGCAAGTTTATTTGTATAGCACAATTCATACACAAGGGAACTCAAAGTGCTGAACAAGATAGCATTAAAATCATAAATAATCACAGAACATTAAAAAGAAAGATAAAAACATAAAATCCCTCAGTTGTATGCACAGCTAAACAGCACCGTTTTTAACCTGGTTTTAAACATTGTCAGAGAGGAGGCCTGTCTCACATCTTCAGGAAGATTGTTCCAGATTTTAGCAGCATGAATCTGAAAAGCAGCCTCCCCATGTTTAGTTCTGACTCTGGGCACTAACAGGAGTCCAGTCCCTGTGCTCCTCAGAGTCCGGGCTGGTTCATATGGGACTAACATGTCACTAATATATTTTGGTGCGAGGCCATGGAGAGACTTGTACACAAGCAGAGCTGTTTTAAACTCTATTCTCTGAGCCACAGGAAGCCAGTGCAGAGACCTGAGAACTGGACTAATATGGTCGTACTTCCTGGTTCTAGTCAGGACTCGAGCTGCTGCATTTTGAATGTACTGCAGCGAGTTACTCTTATTACTTTGGAGGAAATGAAAAAAGGTTGCTTATTCAGTTTGGATATCCTGTTTCAAAGTTACCCACAGGAACAATCGTCTTACTGGCAATTTGTGTGGGTTCATGAGATGGTAAGGAGTTTGACCTCCTCCTCATTCTCCTCTGAGTTTGGAAAAGCATGTACCCCAGCTCCAAGGGGTTTCTGGAATAGCATGAATGACTGCTAAACTCATTCTGCTTTATTAGGGCCAATGTGCTGTAGTCTTTAATAAAATGGTACGAAACATAAATTATGCTAAAAATAAAGATTTACACCAGTTCAAATTCGACAGCTTTATTCCCTTCGTAATCTCCTGTTTAAAATTATCTCATGGACGCAGAGAGAGACAAATGCCTGGTGTAAAATAGTCCATTTGACTCGTTGTGCTCTGTGGGCAGGTGTTGTGCTGGTTTGTTGTGGCTCGTCCTCCTCCTCCTCAGTCTAAACTTCATCGCGGGATCATTGAGGCGTGAGTGGGATGCCGCGGGGGTCCGTCACCTGGCCCTCCTGCAGGTTCTTCACTAACTGGGCCAGCCAGCGTTTAGTGGTGGTGTCGTCCTTCAGCACCTGGGCGAACGTGGTGTCTTTGAGCTGGTCCGGGAGGCACTGTCGCAACGCCTCTCTCGCTCTGGAAGCAGGACACTGGGGTCAAGCCTTTCTCATTTCAGAATATACTGCTGCTTCAAACATTATAGACATTCTTTATCTCCTTATCTCATGATCCACACAACCACAACAATACTGTCAGACATACTGTATCTTCAATCAGTCAAAAGAGTCAAAGAGAGATAGTTTTTGTTTTATCCACTTAACAGGACACCTCAAATACAAGTCTGTCATCTGTTACCTCGAGATCTCTCCTTCAGTTTCCAATTCTCCTGTTACATTACATATAGTCTGTACAATGGGAACTTTTTTCCCCCATTTTTGTACCTACCTGAATCACGTTTATTTAACAAAACAAAGTTAAATGTTGTAACTTGTGTTATTAAATTAATATAAAATCAGCTTTGTGCAACCCTCATCAGCCTCAAATTACGGGTATTGGTCCTAAAAAAAAAACATACCGGTTGAACTCTGTCCCTGTAATTAACATGGATTGAGCTAAAAATACCCCAGGTTTGTTTGTGATGAGGGAAAAACGTAACATGTTTAATCAGTCTTAAAGTTTACCTGGAGTTGTCTGAAAGTCTTAAGTAACAGCGTACAACGTGTTTGAGCAGTCGAGCCGACGGTTCCTTCGAGAGCTGAAGAACCATTTTACCCTGAAACAAAACACAATTGTTTGCAAATGATTTAATAATGTTTAGGACACTGGTCTCCCCCCTTCTGGTCCTCCCCCCTCCTCACCAGAATCATGGCCACGTGTGAGAAGCGCTCGTAGGTCTGACAGATGTAGGCCAGCCCTGTGTCGTCCAGGAGGATCTTCTGAAGGATAAAAGTGGCGACCTGGAAGTCACAGGCAGAGCCGTTAGTCCAATGTGTGCCAAAGTGTGCCAAATGGTTGCAGATGATCCCAGTTCACATATGTGCACGTCGCTTAGTGGGCCACCCCCTCAGTTTCCAAAACTCTGGTCCTCTTCAGGGGAGTGACAAACCAGTCTAAAACCCTGAGTGAGAAGAGACTGTAGTTCCAGTGAGTATGTGCACGTTTACAACACCCGCCGTAGTGGCATAAAAAAAACACAGAACTCCACTCACCACACTCACCTCGATACACAGATGCTCCGAGTCCAACTGTGTAGTCAATGTATGGAGCTGTATCGGAGGCCACTGAAGCCAAAAACACAATTACCTACATGTGGTTCTTGTCTGACCGGCCAGAACCACACCATTTTGTAACAACACAGGAATTTTGATCGAAAGCCTCTAGTTGCCTCCTCCTAGCATTGACTGGTGTGTCAAACGACAGGCATTTAACCTCCCTCTGCGGGGGTCTCTCTCCCTCTAGGGGGGTCTCTCTCCCTCTGCGGGGGTCTCTCTCCCTCTGCGGGGGTCTCACTCCCTCTGCGGGGGTCTCACTCCCTCTGCGGGGGTCTCACTCCCTCTGCGGGGGTCTCACTCCCTCTGCGGTTGTCTCCTTCTGCACTCGAAATTTGCATGTTGATTTTGACACGCTCTCCTTTTTCTCTCGCCCTCAGGTAAACAGTAAGCTCTGCACATGGTACTTTTCTATACGTGTCCTTTTAGAATTATAATAGAACCAGCTTGAGAAAAGCTTTATACCAATGATAAAAACTTTAACCATTGCAAAAAGTATGTTAGTTTTTTGCTTTTAAATACATAGACAAATATACACAAACACACACATACATTGAAATGGCACATACTGTTTTGGAGAGCTCGCTGCCTGCTTCCATGATTCGCAGGCACAATGGAATAATCTCCGTGGTTAACAGGAAGTTGATCACTTCTTGTTCATCTGTTTTCACAAGGGCCCCTGGGAAAACAAAGACACGACATGACGTTGATGGATTTTACCAGTGACATATGAATAAACTTTGCCGACGTAAAGGGGGGAACACAGCTACACAGTGTAATATTCTTGATTCTCACCGATGACTCCCAGGCTGGTGAGTCTGAGGTATTCGAAAGGCCGAGTTTTACTGACGGTGTGAAGGAACGGGTAGAGGAACAGAGGTATGTGAGCGGCCAAAAAAGCAGTTCTGCAAAAATAAAACAGAAAATCAAACTATAGATTACAGAGAAGACTGGTGCTAGGAGCTCAAAAACAAGTACAGCTACTTCC